GGCCGGTTTAGCGTGTCTTCAGGACGTCATCAATCGTTTCTCGACTGTTCCTGAACCCGAATTCCCCGGGCACGTTATTCTCGAACAATTCCAAGCGCAGGTAAGTGCTTTAGATAACTTTGAGACTTGTGCCGGAATGATTTGAAGGATTTTGTTCAGATAATGCGCAGTTAATAACTGAATTCATTCGAGATGAACTCTTTTAAAGAATGAAAAATCAAAAGCGAATTCGATTCGGTTTTGAGACAGTGATTGTTTTATGATGCAGGTGGGTGCTGCGTTGAGACCGGCGTTTGCGGCCGAAACGCCCAGTGATGTGACGGCTGCAGCATGCCAGGTTTGTAGTACGTGGATAGGGAGTGGTGTGGCGAGGGATTTGAACGATCTGAGACGAGTTCATCAGGTGAGTGTTGTGGAATTTTTGTAGTGGTAGGGGTGATGGAAATGATAATAGTAACGATATTTGTAGTAATAATCATATTCATAATAATGATAATGAAAAATTTATCGAGTCTTTAGTGTTGAAGATAGCTGAAAAAATTGTTTTCTTGAAATCTGCCAACTATTCTTGAGATCAGCAAATTTCGTGAAAGTTTCTTCTCATTTATCATTTGATGAGAATCGGACATGGTTGATATTTTTCAAAGAATAAAAAGTTTGAAATAGTTAGATTAATTTCAGTTGCTTGTTTCATCGTTGGGAAAGCTGACACATGGATCGATCAACACGCAATTGTACAGTGAGAGTGCGGCCACTCTGGAGAAATTGGCCATTTTGAAGGCGTGGGCTGAGGTTTACATTGTTGCGGTTGAGGAGGCGAAGAAAAGAGACGAAATTACGAACGCAAAAACGAAAGGTTTGTTGGATTTGATCTGTTGCTGCAATTTGCATGGATTTTTAGACGGCAATAAAACTGCTCAAATATTTTGGAAACATACTCAAATCAATTTACTTCTTCCATCAAAGACGTTGAGGTTGGTGGAGCGTTGTCTTTTCTAGAGAATGGCATGTGCCCTTTTAAGGAGAATATTCGAGAGTGCTTGGAGATAGGTTGTGCCGCGGAATTGCAACTGTTTTAGTGCGTTATCATAGTGATTTCAAGATTTGATTTGATATAAACATTCTTTTCTGTGCTGATTACAGATGACGACGAACAACCGTATCACTCAACCGAATGTCTCCTGAGTCTGGTGACGCCTGAACTCGGCTCGTTGGTGGAGCATTGGCTGGCGGCATTGCGAGATTCCGCTTTGCTGTCGTTACCGTCCGAATTCGCCTCACAACTACCGCCGAACGGCGGTGCGTATTACGCACCCGAAAGCGCGGATGTTCGTATTGTTTCTATTACATAATTTCCAATCCGTTCATGAAACCGTTTGTAAATCAGTTTGAAATGTTGATTTACACCAAAAAATCGAAAAAAATATGTCAAAATTTTA